ACACACACACACACACACACACACACACACACAAAACCATGTTGACAACATGTGGCACTCTGCTGCATTTCTGTTGAATTTAAATGGTTATTGATTTTCTGTTACCTTCGGCATCGTGGTATTTAACTCAGACTGTACCTAGATTTACTTAAATACTGCAGTTAGATACTTTACTTGAATATTTCCATTTTCTGTCAGTTTATACTTTTATATATCCGAAGCAAATATATTTGTTTTCCTTTTAAAAGTTAGAATAATCACATAGACACACGACAGGCTCATGAAATGAAAGCACAATGAAACAGTTCGATTCGATCAATCTGAACAAATCTAGTAAATAAAAACAGAAGAAGAAACCAGAGACAGAAAAACTGCGATGCTTTGGTGGGAGTGGCCTATTAAAGAACATCAGAGAAGCAGAAGATAACGCACCAGAGCGACCGTCTGCCCCGCCTCCACCGTGAAGGTCACATGTCTGAGAACCTCCGTGCTGCACACACACAAACACACACACGTGGAAAAGAGCGACGGTCAGGATCCACACAAACGTAATTTACTCAAAAAAGAGTCACAAACATTTGAGGTACATCGGTTATTCATTGAGGTTCAGAATAAAAATGGCGGCTATGATTGAGGTACAATGCACCAACGGTCTGAACGTGTCGGAGAATTATTTTCTGTTTTATTTCTCATATTTTATATTTTCATATTTAGGAAAAAGCTCCCCAGATAGGGACGACAAAGAGTCTCGTTCGCCCCCTGGTGGCTGGCTGCAGTACACATCGTTTGCTTTATCTTTAGGCTACAGACAGATTCGTTGTTGGCTACACACCCAGGCACGTAGCTGAAACAGACTCTGTCAAACTCCACCTGACCTGCTGTGAGCTGCAAGTCCTGAGCATCCTCTGCATCCTGAACCTGAGGAGGAGGAGGAGGAAGAGGAGGAGGAGGAAGAGGAGGAGGAGGAGGAGGAGGAAGATATTTAATGCACTGGAGGAGGTCAAGTTGTTGCCACTATAGATTGTATTTAAAGATGGACGACAGGATCGCTCCCCATTAGAGAGGCCAAAGTGACTCGAGTGCCCCCCCCCCGGTGGCTGGCTGCACAATAGGTCATAAAGCCTGCCTCCTCCATGTTAGCAGATGGGACACGAGTCACACTAAAAAGTCAAAACACAGATTAAATACATTTTTCTCAAAGATGGTCTCAGTTGTATTGGGTAGCGTTCATGTTTCCAGTCATTTGGATTTCAATGAGTTATTTGATGATATAAAAACAGGGTGGAACATCATGATTGACAGCTGAGACTGGCTTGTGATTGGTCTAACACATGTCTCTGTGGGACACCGACACCGCGGCCTCCGTCCATCTACGGTTGACACCTACATCTGCTAGCGGCCATTTTAAATCCATTTACGACTCGATATTTCTTATAAATAGGAAACATGTCGACCATAAAGTTTGATGATTTCTCTTCCTGACCCCC